CAAAGCATCCGACCGACGAAGGCACCGTCACCAGTTGGCTCATCCGCTTTCGACCAATAAGAAGTGCGTCCAGTGGTTCAGCATGGATGCGATTGGCTGTCCGTGACCTGGGTTCCTGCTTGATGCTAGATCGAATCAGGGTGTACCACCTTTCGTGTCCTGCATGGCAGGTAAAATGTGCAAATTTGCTTCGAATATGACTTTCACGTCTTCTAGCAACGTTTAGTTGCCTGAAAATGGTGGTCATATAATCGATATTAATTCCAGTCTGGATTGGTGGACTGAGTTGGAGCTGCTTTGCGGGTAAAATGCTTGGCTTTCACTCAAACCGCGCGTGGTTTGACACATTTGTTTTGCCGTTACCTGGCACAGTTTTCACAAAGAGTCCATTAATCTTGCCTTCCTCACTCCCTGGACACGCGTGAACGCCGAATCTCGCATTAGCGAGTCAAAAGGATGAAAGTGTGCTTCAGTTGTTTTAAGAAAGCGCATTAATTATTAACATGGTGTTGTATGACACACAGAAGGCCCTTTTAGCATTGCATTGTGAGGGAGAGTGCCGCGCGAAAACGCACTGGCTTCATTCCGCCTTCAACAGGGCTGTCTTCACGCCCGACTTGATTTTTTTCACATGGCAACTCATTCTTAAGCCAGTTCATTAAAACAAGCACTTTTGTGCAGTTTCTAATTCACTGTTAAGATAAATTTCGTCATAGTTTGTGCAGCCGGAACATTAGTCTGGGTTTGACTGGGTTACCGCTCAACTTATCGATCACTTATTGATTTAACCAATCTTCGTTTATAAGATGACAATTTCATAGACGTGAGCAATATTTTGAAAACCGCAAAAATGTTTTAAATGTGACGAAAGATTCTTTAACGCAGAAAGTGAAATTTTTAACAGTGAAAGCCTAATGACAAGTTTGCTGCGGTTGTTTAAATGAACTGGGAGGACTTTCATTAAACACCTACCAAAATTACAGGAGAGTGATATATTGCTTATTAAAATTGTAAAACTCGGTGTGTCCCGAGGGAAATTATCTTACTGCTAGGCTTTACTCTAAACCACTTGCATAAATCACCATTTTAAACGCAAGTTATCAAACTAACAAACCTGTTCACCCGCATTAAAGTGTGATAGGATTTCCAAAAAAATACGTTAATTAGTGAAATCACGGCAGGTGTTAACTTGACTTGTTTAAATGCATTTACGTAATGCCGCGAAAATGTAACAGAAACAGCATGAAGGTGTATTGCTAGCTTCGTAATTAACTGACTCTTGCACATTCTCTCTTGCTGATTTGAAATAGTAGCATTTGTTGTACTACTCACTTTATATCAGCAAATAAAAGCAGTTAGGTTTTTGGCGCATTTTCGCATCTGTGTTCTAACTAATCCAAGAGAAGAAGAAGAAGGATTTTAAGGTGAAATTTCAAGTTCGTATCATGTTAGGTCAATACTAAACACGGTCAAATTGAATATTTCGCCTTTTTCCGTGAAAATCCGGTTCTGTCATTTGAACCAATGAACTGTTTGGACGGTAGAGGTGACGATTATAACAAAAATAGAACTGCCAGTGAATGAGGCCCGTTAACACGTGATTTCGAAAATTTAGCGTTGCTGTGGCAATTGAAGTAACATAACTCATGCATTGTAACTCCTCAGGTCGGTTTTATGCTGCTGCCAGAAACACCGGCAGGTCACGATGCAGAGGTGCGGGAAATTCAAGGTCAGTGTGTCGAAGGCGCACAGCCCGTGCTCGTGAACCAATCCGGCGGCCTCGACTACGGTAGGCCGAGCGAGTCGATTGGTGTAAAACCGTCATTTTGCAAAGCTAACGGCCAATGGCACGTGCTAGAGCACAGTGCATGTGAATGCCTGCCTGGATTCGAGCCATCTCTGCAAGACAATGCTTGTTCAGGTGAGCTTTCTCTGATGTAAATGACGAGCCAATAAGCAGCCTACAAAATAAACCAATGAAAATCAACAGAAATCTGACAGTTATAAAAAATCAATATGTTGAATTGTTAATGCGCCGGTGGAGGTAATCTTATGCAATAAATAATTAGTGGTCATAATTTGGTGTCAATTAAATTTTTAGCTACATTAAATTCTGTTTTGTTTTTAGACAATTGGGTTAGAACGAGGGTTCACGAGGCCCAGTCCATTAGCGTGTTAGCTTTTAAGCAAAATTTTGTTTACGAGTTTGCTAAATTAAATCACCTTTTTCTTACTAATTTAGATTAAATTTACGTTGCTCTATAACTTAAACTGTCACTTTTTTGCTTTTATTTAGGTGAAACATTGAAGTTAAATAAAAAATGGAGTTAAGACATCTAATTTCGAAGTAATTCGCAATGTTCTACCAAAAATTCAATTAAATTGGTTAACTTATTCAGCGTAAATTGTGGTTGCTGCCTTGCCCAAAAAAACGAAGGTACATGCTTTGTTTGAATAGATGTATGTCCTGGTGATAAATGATTGGTTGTGTTTTGTTTAAATCAAATCAAAACTTAAACATCCAAATTCTTCCTTTTTTCTACAACTTCCAAGTAGGACATTTACTGAACCAAAATTTTTTTTCTCAAGTCAAGTTACCTGACGCTAAACATTAAATATCAACTATTTTTAAATTTGATCGTCACTCAACGTTATTTCGATAAGAATAGTAGTATGCTAGCGGCCCGTGATGGTCCAATGAAATGCCTTCAAAAATGTATTATTGAGCAGTGAGACTACTTCCAGTTCTAATTACCCGGTAGAAACATTTATGGCTGATTAATAATGTAGACAAACAACCACACACAGGCACTCCACACTTGGCATTTGCATGTGCCACCCAATTTGTTAAGCATTGTTTATGTCTCGGGTTTGCCGTGGGTGGTGGCAATATATCATGGAAACTGCCAACGTCTGGTTACTTGCGTTTTGCCCCAAAAAACGACGGGGAACTGCATCAGAACATGCGCTCACACATGCATACACACTCCCGTCTCTTTTTCCAGCCTTCTACAACAGTGAACAAGGCATTGTTTAAACACCGCTGCTAGTGGTGGATTAAGTGGAATTCAGTAGTATCATTCGACCCAGGGGTATTTCGTTTCAAGGAGAACTATTGAGTTTTCTGGTTCCTACGTCAAGACCTGCTGCATTAACCTTAAAAATTTTAGTAAATGCGGGTGATTTTTGGCAATTACAACTATGGAAAGGTAGGAACACGGATCGCTTCAGAACGTTTATCACCTAATTAAATTTTATATGTTAAATCGTTTTCATAACACGTTAAGAAACCAATTATTTAATTTTGACGATAATACGCAGAAGTCTTTTCTTTTGTTTACTTATAAGATCATTAACATTGCATAAATGAAAATTGGATCAATAAATTAGAAACCCCGCCACTAAGACGCTATGGGGATTTAAACAAATCCAAATTTAGAGAGGGCTTTTAAGCAAATTTGTTTCCTGCAGCCAAAAAAATTAGCGGCCAATTGTGTGACTTGCGTGGTGACATCTACCAAATGGAATTATTTTGTTGACATTTTTTTAAATTCGTGCGTTTCTTCATGAAACCATTAGACCCACTTAACCATCCCCATATTCACCGAATCCATCGAAAAGCATAATTGGAAGCACTCGTGAGGCGTGAGACGAAATTCAGGTTCACCTCTAACCAAGATTGCGTTGTTTTAGTGAATTGCAGAGTTTGATTCCGCGCGTGTTCAAACTCGTGTGTTGTTTAGAGGGAAGCAAGATGGGAATCTGCTTTAATAACCGACGCAATTGCATGACACCGACAAAACGTTCTTTTGCGTCCTCTAGGCTGTCCAGACTCCACGTACAAGCCCCTTGCGGGTCCTGAAGCCTGTCGATTTTGTCCACCAACCTCCTCTTCTGAAGCCTCCACGGCGAGTACCAAATGCGTTTGTAGTCGCCCGCTGTTCACGTGGCACGTCATATCTGAGTCTGGAATTGGCGTATGCGCACGTGAGTTAATTTGGCTTTGTCTGTTGACTTCTAAAATCACGACTCCATGATGTCGCTGATCGTCATCGTGGGTTTCGTAAAATTATCGAGTGGCGGATCATGGTTAGAGGTAGTCATGACTACAACCATGTAACTGTCTCCTGGAGTGGGTAAATACTGAATTGGAGATGAATCACCAATGCTGTTTTAAGTACAAATAAGGTAAATTACTAATTGTAATGCTGCATATTCCTTTAAACCATTTTGTTTCTGCGTTATTTACACAGTTTTGTCTGTTAAACATATTTAACTAATAGCATTTGAGAAAGAGTATCCTGATGCTGTTATCCCATTGGTCAGTTTCTAGCTATTTGTTTAAATACGCTAAAAATAATCATTTTTTTCATAGCACACGATGATTTGAAAGGATAGATATATAAAGAAATGATTTTTTTCCTGGATTATGTTTATGACCTGAGAATCAGAACACTGGGAAAATTAAGAAAGTTGAGTTGTTTAAATGACGTCACTGCAGTTGGCGGGAAACCCAATTAACTAAATGTTGGGGAGTAACCGGTAGCCATTGCTTTTACCTTAAACCGCTAAATGGAAATGCTATTTACTCGAGGGCTAAATTCCATTACCGGCCAGCATGATGTACCCATTAATTTGTGCCTCGTTGTTTTAATTTCATGTATTTTTGAGCGGTGCATTAAATTCAGCCAAATTCAACTTCTCCACAATAAATCAGGCTTAAGTGATCCTTGATCCTTGTGACTTTGAGTTGACCTCCAGACAGTGATTGCTTTTAAACCATTCAAAGTATTTCGCACTAACATCGATTTGGCCTTGAGCTTTGGTCACCGACTGGTGCTACTTTTAACGGTTTGTGCAACCGCGTGCCACGCAGCCTATTAAACAATATCATAAATAGTCTATTTAAACAATTATACACAGTGGTGGTGGTGTTAAAAGTGACGCATCAAGTACTGATTGTTTGTGATGGTGAGAAAATCATTGCCCAGTTTAACATCTAATTTTAGTAATTTATGGTGAACGAATGTGTATGCTACCTTGTGATTGGCTTAGATGTGTGTCAAGGACAGATTGTTGTGATTGGTTATTTGTTGGATATGACAGCCCCCTCACAGATATCAAATGCTTCTGCATTAATTTCATCCATATCGAAGACATGCTGTTTATAGTCTTCCGGATTTGTCATCTTTGAATTAAATTTGACTGACTCTAAGCTACTAACACTTAGAGTAAGGTAAAGTTCTGAGTTTTTGATTCACTTTAACCAAAGGACCAAATTAACATGTACAGCCGCCTAATTATTCATCTCCTGGTGGCTAGTGCACTCAAAAATGCGAGAGCCAATAGGAATGAGGCGGCTGATATAAATTTGTAAAGTGGTGTGCGTGGAAAAAAATGATGGAAAGAAAAGCATAGTTTTGAGGAGTTCGGGACTCCTTAGCATTATTTCAGCTGCCAAATGGCCAAAAGGTGTTCTTAAGCAGAATCTGCACGGAGAAATTTTCTGCAGTTTTATCCAATTGCCATTTTTATCCTTTGAAGCGGATCTACCGCGACCAGGAGACCTTGAGGTCGTGGAAAAGAACGCAGAGCGGATTGTCATCACTTGGAAGCCTCTAATTAACGGTAAAATGCCAATTCCTGTGGCGATTTCGTGCATCGACTGCCAGGCAGACGAGGCGGTTTACGTTCCTGGAAGCGTTGTCGATGGAAGTCGGTGAGTTAAATCGTAATTTTTTGGTCTGCCCGAGGCAAAAGGACTGTGCCAATGTCTCCCTTCAAATGACGTCACAGTACCACGTTGTGGCTGCCGATTTGTACTTGGCGGCGGCGGCGTTTAGGTTGACCTTTACGGTAAATATGTGTATGACTAATCAGTGCGAGATTGGGCCCACCCACAAACGCCGGAACGATCACCCTCGTTAGCGCATAATCAGCGTCAGTTGAAAGCTTGTGTCACATTTACTTAAACCACTGATGCCTGTTGTCCAGTTTTTGCAGTGTAAACCAATCAAAATTTAGGCGTGGTCGGGAAAAATCTGTTTTTTGAAGCTTTTAAAATAAAATTAAGTGAATTTTCCTTGTGATTTCAACAAATGGCATTTCCGGAGTGCTGGGAGTAGATTTGAAGATTACTTTGGGTTGAATACTAATGAAGGCTAATTTGGAAAGGGTGAACTCCATTTAGAAAATTGAGTTGAAAACGACATCCGTGAACGTAAGGCGTAATTAATGCCTTTCGACTCATTAAACAGTCTTCGACATGAATAAACTGTGGAAAATGGTAAATCGTCGTGGTTTCCTAACTCACCGGTCACATTAGGTAGCCACTCGTAGGTCGAACCACACTTCCGCCAATCAGATAAAAGCGGCACATTTTGCAGAGCCAATGAATTTTCCGCAGTTAGCGGGCTGAGTTTAACCTGCATTTTTTGCCAATCAAAACGTCGTTGGCACGTCAAATTGACTGCAGAAATATACAGATGCATTTTCAGTAAGAATCACATTGTAAATATATGTTTAATGCACTGCCAACATTGATTAGTGCCTTCGAGAATTTAAGCCACACGTGATTGGTTCCCATCAATTTTGGTCAAGGAGCCACTTTGATGCCTAAATTCTCTTCCAAACAAATTGCAGAATTTTTAAAACCACTTCATCATATCCTTCGAGTGAAAAAAATTAAATAATTTTGTTGCCATATAAGAATAAGTGCTTCTGTTCCATCAGTTTACATCTTTATCTAGTGACGCTGAACCTGCGTTGCAGGAACCTCACACACAAAATTGCTTTGCATTTTCGTCCTTTTACTACTTAAGTGTCCAGAAATTGGTTTTTTTAAAACTTGCTGTTAGGGATTTTTCTGGTCCTCTCATGTTTATGACTTCGGCCACATGTGTGATTTAGTAAGCGAGGCAAGCCATCTTTTAGGAGGATTCAGGACACCTGGTTAGCGTGTTTTTGCTGGATTCATTTTAAAATATCCTTATTTTTTTTCCGAACATGTTATTCTGCCTTGATGATTTCTGATTGAAGCAAGGAGGACTTCAAAATCAGAGAATTAGGGGTTCGCGGTAATGAACAAACATATGCCTTGTCATATCTGATTTCGGTGACAATTGAATAGCCATCAAGTTTCGCCACGGCATCATCATGTCGAGTCATTTCGGCCGATTTTTGTCGAAATAGAATGCAATGTACTAGAAGATGACAACAATAGCCTAGATATTGGCGATCGATATGACTATGTGGTCGATAAAAACGCGCACACAATCGATAATTGGACATCGCTCATGACTAATCAGAGTATTTTTAAAGAAGGGAAGACAACTCAAATGGCAGTTATTCAAAAAATCAATAGAATTACTTTTAACAGCAATCAGTTTTCGCAGTGAAAGTTGGTATAACAGACTGGAATAATGCCGAATTATAGTGCATCGACGTAGCCACGTCGGAGGTGTTGACTCTACAGTGAATTCCTTTTTAAGAATAACTAGTATTCTAGTTATCAGTACTCGTAAGGGTTAATGAACTTTTTGATCGGCTAAAACGTCACTTGTTCCAACCAATAGCAGTTTATTCAGCCAAATACAAGGAAGTTTAAATAACTGTGATCTTAAAGTTTTCAATGCCTGTTCCACAGATGCTCTCTAGAACTACGACGATTAGGTCTCAGACTGCTGTTGGTACGATCTCCATCGACTAAGACCGAAACAGCGATTGGATACTGATACGTTGAACAGCAAAGTGTAGACGCAACATGTCTTAGAATCAGCCAATCATTAACATGGTTATTACCGTGTGAAAATGTCCTCTCCTACATCAACATCTTTATATCTGATGCAATAACTCGGCTGGTCTATAGTGCTTCACGTTGTTTCATCAAGATCGCTGAAACCGATTCGAAAATAAAACTTCTTAAGAAAATCGCTAAATCGCCGCTTAAAGTTGGTCGCACTAAAACACACGATATTTTCTGCCTCGAAATTCAAATTTTTGTTTGAGGTGGGGTGATTTTAATGTTTTCATCGCTCTGAACAATAACAACTTTCATAACCCCAGCCGACCGTTTGTTTATTTGCAGTGTTACAGTGCTCGGACTACGAATAAACAGGACGTACACCTTTGCATTTCGTTCTTGCTTGAACAAGGAAGATGTACTGGATTCCTGCGATCTAAGAGCATCGCATCTCACTGTGAAGGCAGGAGAATGTGAGTTTCCCAACGATTTTCAATGTCAAGGTCAAGTGTCAGACAGTTCGTTATTCCGTTTAAACAAGCTTGCACTGACCTTGACTAACTGACTGTTGTTTTCTTCTAACAATTTATAATCATGTAGAAATTCCACGCTCTTATATTTCCCGTCAATTACTAATTATTCAACTCAGAATGGCAAGCAATTTTTCTTCAATTACAGTTGATGAAAATCGTCATTAATTGCCAAACTGTCAGAGAACAGGAAAAAAATGCCAAATACAGTATTACAAAGGCGAGAATTAATCTGTAATGACATCTAGTGCTTGCGTTATATCAACTCGACATGAATACCAGATTAATATTTAATTGAAGTATTGTCCGAGGCGATATGTACGTTCTCTTGTCGCATGCATTATAAATGCCAATTGAACGCCAATCGCTTGTGATTACAACTCACTGCAGACAATACGATCAAGTGCTACAGCTGTGCCCGTCTTGAAATCGATTGGTTGGTTGCTTTTTAATCGATCGATACGTCAAGTGTAGGCCCAATCGTCCACGCGGTACTTAGTTGGCACGTATTCTTGAGTGGAGACTAATTTTGTCTCTTGTTGATGTGGCATTAATTGAGGCTTAAATCATTAGTGGGCTTTGTTCCGGCATGCGACTAACACGCTCCTAGAACATCACCTGCCTCTAGTTAAAGTCAATTGGGATTTTAACAAAACAATCATTTTTTTAGCTTTCTAGGCTCTAGTTTGTAAATTTGTATTGGCGTTCGAAATAGAAACGAAGGGATTGAAGCGTGAAAATGCAAGGTGCAACCAAAACATATTTGGTACGTCCAATTATCTAAGCCTTGGACGACCTTGACAGCGATGAAAATGGGCAGCACAATGAAAGTCAGGTGAACCAATCAGACAAGTGCAATTGCGATTTAAAGTAATTACGAAAAATTGTGGCTAAATGTCTGGGAGCCTAAAAATTGCATTCTACAGTTTGAACCAATAGGATTTGTGGGTTGGGTCTTCAGTGGAACCAAAAAAGAGGCCTAATTTTGGAGATGAACTGTGGAGTCTTGATAATTCTTGACTCTTTCGACTGCTTTTTGACACTCCCAAAACTGGTAATTTTTTTTGTTAACTACCAAACATTCCAGACCATTTGCCTGAAAATAGCCTATCGTTGTAGCCTACTAAGTCTGATTCGACTAAGTCAGGTGATAATGCTTCCTTGATGTTTATTGGTTATCTGTACTTGGCATTCCACTATTTAACAGGCATCTGATCCCGCCAAAACAAACTCTCATGATGTGAAACGTCGTGCAGTCATTAAATCAATGATTTTGATAAATGCTGCGTAAGTAACAACTGTCACTAGAGGAGTGGTTGGTCCATCTTGTCTGCTTCAAAATGATTGGTTCGCGTGACTCACTGCAGTATTTTATTGGTTCTTACTCAGCCAGTCACCTCCGTCATTACACAATGACGTTAAATGTCTAGTGAATAGTTATTTCAGAATTGAGCTTACTTTAATTAAAACTCCGATATTAGACGCCAAAATTAGTAAGTCGGGTCAGTTTTATTGGCTTTAAAGTGCTGAGAAGTCAATTAGGGTCAAACAGAACCAGTTGATTGTGTCATTTGTCATATTTTCCTTTCTCCAATTTTTTCACGAAGATCCATCCAAGCGCCTCGCACCTCACAGAGGTCGTCAAACGCTCAATGCCACAGGAACGCAATTCAAGGAGAATTCTTCCGTTGCCATGGTGTTCCACGCGTTACTTGGGTCGACAGTGTTCATTTGTGTGACGCTTGCCTTTGTCTCCGGCGCGATGCTACTCCACCGGTACGTCCTTCGGGTGGAAACTGCCTTCTAGAATATTCGAAAATAGGTCAAATACGGTATAAACGTGCCTGAAAGACATTTTTGTTAAGTCACTGATAGAATCAATTCTGGGTTGGTCGAAGTGCTTTGAAGGATAAGAATGAGAATTTTAGTTTCATGTAATGAAATACCAAAGAAAACGCACTAATTGACCTAACCAATCAAAACGCAAGCCCTTAACTACAAAATGGATAATGTATTTTCGACAAATTTGACAATTTTAAGAAAATCATTACACAACTTATGCATTGTGCTTCCCCGCACGATTAAATCAAGAGATAAAGACTTTTGCATGGTCCCTACGGGTCCTGTGGAAATGGTTTTTACTGCCTCTGTCTCAAGACACTTGAGCAGCGATTTACACCTGGTGGTACACTTAAACGTGGATTGACCAATAGGATGTTGCTTTTACCGTGAAATGGTGTGCATGGCAACTTCAAAATGTGGTTTAGATGTTGCCTAACTTTGCAAAAAGACGTGGTTTTTAGAAACTGCTGTCGTTTTACACAAATATATTCTCCATATTTATTCAAATTTTTGTAAAACGCAATTATTAACCCGTCAAATCGACTCAAATTTCTTTTATCTAAAGAAGATACAACAGGAGACAACCGCCGAAACGTCAGTACGAGTTTATCAATAACATCGGAAAAACGCGTAAGTTACATTTAACTAAATCGTTTCTCGAGCTGGCGTTGAGGATCTAAAGATAACAATTGGTTTTTTTAAATAAATTCAATCTTTGTTGATTTTCAAGATTGGTACGACTGTATGCATATTTCCCGATATATGTCTATGTTGATTTCGTTTAAATGCTGTGGTGTTGACGCCATATAAAAGATGATCCATTTTTTTAGAAACACGGACATTATACAAATGTAATTTATTAATCTTTAGCTGGATTGGATCACATCTTGAAGGTTTTGATGTTAAACAAGTGAACACCTGGGCCTAAATGATGTAATAGCTTGGCTAGCCAATCCATGGATGAACTTAAAGTACTGAAAACATGCTGCGAAATTGTGGTCAGTCGTTCTTCTGAGACAAATACACCTGCTTGTCTTGCAGTGACACTTTTACTGTGCGTAAAGAAGTGTACTGAATCACTGTCTGCACAAACTTGTTAATTTTGTGACAATAAGATTTGGGTTGTACAAAGAAGCATTTTCATTGGCTCTTGCAAAGTTTGTCAATGAAATTTCGCTTATTTTTTGGTTACATCCAATTCTGGTACTTGGTTCTATTAAGTTCCACTTCTGAACCATGATCAACTGTATGGGCATTAAGGTTAAAAGAAAAAATGCAAATTTAGCCCAATGCTGTCCTTCAGCCAATGATATCTGGCTCTCGCTTTTTGCCTGTTTTGTAATTGGCGAAACCGCACGTTCGCACATTTTTGCTCCTCGATTCCCTGAAAGTATTTCTACACACCTGATTCATTACCGAAATTAGACGGTAGATAGTTGAAATGTTTTTTGTGCTAAGTGAATATTTAAATTTAAACAAATTATTAGTTAATGGAAAGCAATTATAAGTAAATGTTCTTGCAAGTGACGCATTTCATTTTGATAATAGCAGGGGTAAAACTAGCAGTTAAGAGTATTTTTAGGCAACAGTCTAGACCTTAGACAATTAAGGAGTTTGCTAATTCTCACTTGAGTTTTGGTCCAGCCTGAGACTTACAGCCACAAGCATTATGCTGTTAGCAAGTGTTTATTTTTTTCAAATTTTCCTTATTTTTATGCCACAAAAAGGGGTTTTTCCCCGGCACAAATATCAGCCACAATAAATTTGACGAGGAATCAAAGCAGACTTTAACCTTAGATTGGCAGGTCAATTAGTTTCGGCTAAAATGCTTTGTTTTCAAAAAAAATAGATAATTTTAGTCACTTTAAACAGGGTTTTAGCGGGAATATCGAATATGTATATAAGTTCTTCAGAAATACGGTTTTGATATCAATTTGTGTGAAAACAAATAAAATAACAATGCCAACTGAATATCACCATTTGCGATAATGTCAAGTGTTTGACACTAAGCCAATTAAACCTGAGATTTTTTAACTTACATGGTTAAATCTTTGTATACTGGATCATAAATCTGTTGTTTTGAAATAAATTACTTAATTTTCGAAACCTACTCCTAATGAATAATCGATGATAAATAAATAAAGTCTGCTTATCTACCCATTGTAAAATACCATACACAAAAATTAGCCGAGACTTCAAAACACGTGCCCATTGCAATAACAGTGTATTTAAACAAATTGATTTTTTATTTATCTAGCCAGCAGACCAATTCCGATTCAGACTCACAACACCGGATATGGCAACAGCCTGTTTCAAGTGGGACACGTTGAGTTCCACCAACTCCCGATTATCAGCCGCGATTCCATTGAAATCTCCAAATATCTTGGCAACGGTGCGGTAACTTGTTTAAAAAAAAGTTAAAAGTCAAATATTTACCCAATCTTTAAAGTATCGACCACCTGTGTTCATCACGTGACATTGACTGCAGCTGTAAAATGGCTTGACTTAAACAAAACCACTGACACGATATTTGCTTGTTGAAGGTCGATTTGGCGAAGTGTACCTTGGACTGCTCAAACCATCGTTGGCTCTCGCGACAGACGAATTCAGGACGCCAGGACATACTGTAGGTCCCACGAAGCTATTCTTGCGCTCTCTGACAGACCTCGATTCCGCAGTTTCCATCGCAACTGCGGTCGCCGAAATTGCCACCGCCATCAAACATCCACAAGTGGTCGAGTGTTACGGCATCGTTAAGGGGATGACACCGAACCTCCTTGTGTACGAGTTCATGGAGTTGGGTCGGCTAGACATCTTCTTGCTCTCGGTAAGCGACTTTTGAAGGCGTTCCAGCAAGTGTATAAGGACATGCGTGGTCTTGGCGGAACGCAATTCCTTTGTGATTCGCTAATTCTGGCTGCTTCCTTATCCTGTGTCATCAGTTGTTAGCAGTTAGTGCACTTGATATTTGCAAGGAATCAAGGTAAACTGAGCCAATAAGATGAAGGTGGGAGATATGAATTTGAAAATTGTGTGCATGAGCACCACATAATGGCGGAAGACAATAACCAGCCAACTGCAGAGACTGTTTTAAAGTCTTTGGCATAGAAAGTACATGAATTATTGCCTGTATGACCCTAAAAACGTAATTTATTTCAAAATTGCAAGCAGCACAAACCGGTATTCATGAATTTCGGCATGTTTTTGAGTGCAGGCAAATGGGCAGTCCTGAATGCGTTGGTCTGCTGTTGTTTTTTTTTAAAAAAAAAAACAGGAAATATCACGGGCTGAGTGTGATCGAAGTAAGAACGAAATCGCGTCTTCTGCTCCCTCGCCAATGCTCTCCACACGCGTGCTTTTTCGGATGTTACGAGATATCGCTGCTGGTTGTTCATTCCTAGCCTCCCTTGCTATTCAAAATCTGGTGCGTATAATTCTTGCCTACCTTTCACAACTCAAAATTGTGCATACCTTGAGAGATTGTTGGTATTGGTGTGATTGTTTTCAGCAAATCAATTCCAGCGCTGTCGTTGTTGCCTCGGATTACTCCTGCAAGCTTCAAATAAAGACCTGGTTCCAGGAAAGCACCCCCACTACAGACCATCCAGCGTCTCCTTCGCTAAGTTGCAGTCTCGCGGCTTTCCTGGGCATTACTCCACCACTAAGTAAGGTGATTCTGGTCCACGAAGGTGACCAGGTCATCGTTCCAGGTGTTTTAGTAAGTCAAGTGTCTGGAACACGTGCATTTTGACCGCGATCTCCTACTGATTGATCCATTCTTCTGTAGAAGCTACCCCCAGACGTTCTGCCCAGCACGTTGTTTGGTGCACTCATTTCAACGATTAAATCGTCAAGTAACGGAATCCAGGCCGCCAACAATGAGTCAACAGCGTCGTCTGTGAAGAGCTTCGGCTGGATCCAGTTGGAGGTGCTGCTAGCTGGCGTGTTTTGTCAGCGGTGCGTCCTGCTCTGTGGGCTGCCAGATGATGTGGAATTGAAGCCTTTTCAGAAGACATTCGTCTGGCGAGACCAGAGTGGCCTGGTAGAGAATGTTGTGGCGTTGATTGCTTGCTGGTTTTCCAATGAATTCCTTGGATACATGCTGAGGAGCTGCTTGGAGGATGACGCAACTCGAAGACCCTGTTTCGATGAAGTGGAAAACCATCTGCAGAAATACCTAGCTGATGGTGGTCGAGGTCCGAGCAACAAGATCTCGGCTGTTATACACAGGGACGATACACTTCCCGTGTAAGTTATGGCCACAAGTTTAAAAAACGCTAATCTCTATTGGTCAGCTAAATCTCAACCAAGGTGATGGTTAAGAATCAATCGGATAGGCAGTAAAGTTAGTTAATCTGGATTTTTACTTCCATTAAACCTATTTAGACAAACTAGAGGCCTTCCGAATTCCTGCTGTAACTGATCTCAAAGGTTAGAGTTGGCTAATTTTATTGGGCTGAAATTAGGCAAATTTACAGCCAATCATTTCGAGGCAAATTTAAGTGTACGTTTTGAACCAGTTACTGGCTGCGTTTGATGTCCTAAGTAGCGGCTCTGCCTCAACATGCATAAATTAAGCCAATGGGATGATGGAGTCATAAATAAACACGGCATTAACAGAATTCAAAATCTGAAACTCGCCAAATCCTCTGGCATTTTGCTAATATCAACGGTAGTTGTTTTAAATGTGTTTTGTCTAAGACATCTCCTTGGCTTAAGCGGCTATACACGATTTTGTGAACCCTTGATTCCAGCAATACGATGCACACACTGAATAATAAATAACAACTGTGAAGGTTACGCCAAAAGTGAAAATCAATAAGTAGGCTTCAAATTTAGACACACGTATAATCAATTTCAAAAATCGCGCTTTGTGTGAAAAATGAACAGTAAAACAACGTGTGCGTTTAGAACAACTTGGCGGTTCGAACAAAGCAAGAAAGGAGGCAGATTTCTACTCTACCACTGTGTTTTTCCTGTTGTAGTCCAAAGCTGACCACATTTCCAGAAATCTACAGCCAAAAGATGCCTGCGAAGTGGAATAATCTGCATTTGGCTGGACCTTGTGAAGACATGAATCGTTTCTACGCTTCTGACACCGTCTAGAAGCGCGTTTTTCAGTACTAGGTGATGTGGCGTGTACATAAATGTGATTTTTCGACCAAGGGAAAATATACGTATATCTCATTTTGATTTAATTCTTTTTTTAAATTAAGCTACGTGATTTGGACTAAGTTAAGAGTAAACAGCTTACTCTATAAGTTGTAAGTTGTGTAGTACCCATTAAACTGCCATTTAACCAGTCTATATGCGCATCTGTTCTCCAAAATTAGACATTGCGTGATTAGGAACGATCGCTGATATCTTACAACTTTCCAATTATTGCGTCAATTTTATTATGTGGTTAAATGATTGGGGAATCAGATTGTAGCGCATAATTTGCTTCGATGTGGAGTGTTGCTTCTTCGAGTTTGGTAAATTTGAACGAATTGGCTGTTTTTTTAAGCCAAACTCCGATCAGATCAAAAATACAACAAGACGATTTAAGGACTCCAATTTGAAGTTGAAACTGCAAGTTTAGAAAACATTGGAATGCATATTTAGGGTGGCTTTTTATGCAACAACTAGTGCCATTTTTATCAGCGCGTGATGCATTAAAACAACCAGAGGAGTACGCATTAGTACTTAATGACATTCACGTTTGGATAGGACAGGCATTTCGTAAGATCTTTCGAGTAATAAAATATGAATATATTGGGATTAGTGTGAAAACATGACATTTGGCAAATGTCACGACGAATGCCAAGCACGTCGAGCACCTCATATAAAGCAGCCGCGTTAAGTGATTGGACACCCACTTGGTGTCCTCTTGATAGGCATTGGCCTTTTTAAATGCAGTAGCAACCTTAGTCTGAGAAATTTGGCAACGTTATTCCAATTGCTGCTAAGTGTGCTGTCGTTAAAGTATATGCGCACCAATCATGCCTTAGCGCTATATTGGTTGGCGATCAAATCACTCTACGACAGAATCAATATCCATAAATTTCGGGATATAATAATGCAGGTTTTCTTGCGTTTTTTATCCAATTGGTCAGGTGCTGAATTTTCAACAAAAAATCGTTCAAAATTTCCTAGTACCTGCACATGAAACATGACTGCATTTTACTTTTCAAGAACAGGCTTAACAAGCGATTTTGGCAAGGTAAATTGGAACAGAAAGTAAAGATCCAGCGTCGTTTACTCCTATAAGCATCAGCAATGCCAACATTCTACTAGCAGAATGATCGGTTGTAGGCAATAAGGTGTTGATACGTGTAAAGTCAAAACGTATAAAATGTGGGAAAATGTAAAATCATGGTGATGATGATCGGTACACCTGCCAAAAAAAACAAATGATTAATGTACTGTATATGCGTCAGGACAAATCTAGTCAATTGATAACAGTTCCTTACAACCACCACGGATGTTAGTTTGAGATGTGCGCACCAAAAATAAATAAATGACATATTATGTGTTTATGTCGATAAGTCCTAAGTATTCTACACAAATAAAGCACGTTTTGTTTCCTCTAAACAAAATCTTTAACTTTCGGTTGAAGGAATTTTAGGTTTTCTCCAGCGATATGCTATTGGTGCACAAACCCGCAACGGACAATTTGGTCGAAAATTACGGTTTTTTGCCAAAGAAGTGACCGAAAAACTGCCTGAGTCTTTGGGAGTGTCATGTTGCTTTTTCGAGATAAAATGCATCAGAAAGTCAGA